CCCAACCACGAGTTCCTTTAGTGGTGAAGATTCGGGTACAACAGTGGAAAAGATGGAATTGTCGGCAGAGTGACTGGTCAATATCTCCAGGCTCTTCTGGGCCTCGGATATTGTACGTGCGATCTTTGAATCAACAAGAACTTCCCACACCCTATCATCGACAAGCGAAAGCTCATCGAAAGAGCCCCTGAAATTTCCACGTTGTGTTGAGCTGAGTCCTATCTGTTCGCTCAGAAGGGCCAGGATCGGCCGGCATGTCCGTGAGAGGAGGATTTGTAACAGTCCAGTTGTGCCGGGGTGATCGAGAGGTGGCCCAGCGGCTTTTTGCATTAAGCCAAGGATAACCAAGTCTTCCTTTTGATGTGTTTGAATTGCGTCGATACATTGTTTCAACATGTCAACAACTATCTTGACCTTCCCCATAATGCCTTTGAGTTGGAGTATCGACGCAATGCTTGGTCTCAATTCGACAAGGTGCTTGTGGACGGCATAGAGCATGGACCTGGAGGTAGACAGGAGAGCTATTTGAGCGGAAGAGAGAAGAGCATATTTGTTGTCCAAGGCTTGAAAAGCGCTTGTAAGGAACCTGGTGTCTATCCCAATGGTCGAGAAGGCCTCAGAGCAACTCTGCACTAGAGTCGAACTGTACCCCCGCGCCGACAGAAGTTGCCACCGGGTAACAAAGGTACTGTCATTCTCCTCCCATCTGAACAGAACAGAGTCTCGCCCCATGCACAACTCGAACAAGGCGTTCAAAAGGATGTCCGACTTGACAAATGTTGGGGGACTTTGCCCGTTTGTATCGAGGATGGAGTTGAACACCCCAGGATCCGTCTCGCTGAGATATGCTGATGCAGGTTCTTGGTGGCGTTCATCCAGAAATTTGTCCCAACTTATCAGTTGTCCCTCTCTTCTCTTCTGGATATCTGGTAAGATCCAAATGTCAACCCATTCCTCTTGCACGCTGTCGCCGTCCAGGCTCTCGAATTGATCATTCTCGGAGTCGGACGTGACCTCGGACGATGCTGACAGGTCCTGTAAAGACACATCCTCAAAATTCAATTGAAAGACGTCGGTTATGAGCGCGGGGAGAGGTCCTTGTGCCGATTCATCCAATCGAAGGAGTCGGCTTTCCAGGTGTTGCTCGAGCTGGAACGCATCCCAACTTGCGTCGGAAGTGAGGGGTTCAGGTTTGAAGTTTTCTATGTGTCTGAGGGAAAATGGGTGCACTGGCTCTGAGGGTGGCATAGTGTCATCCTGAAGGGCATTGTGCGATATTCCTGGTCTCTTTGCGGGTGGTGGACGAGAAAACTACGTGCGGGCATGTCCAACGCGTCGACTCAGTTACGCGTTGGGTAGATAGTGCGCCGCTTTAACATCCCGCAAAGACAGAAAGGAAGAAATAAAAGCAGCGTAACTCATGGAAGCATCCGAAATGAGACGTAACAAGTACAGTTTGGATCTTCTATCATCTATCTGGCGGTGTCAAGCTCTAATCACATGTTCACAATACTGATGATAGCCTTCTCCTCCTGGTCTATGCAATCGACCAAGCCTTCGACACTTTCACCCATTACCCTTGAAACACCTGAGTGGCAATCCCTAGTCTACCTCGAACTAGTTTTGTGTGGAAAGGGAGGCTTCCATTTTAGTCTCCTGGGCGCAACCTTTCTTCGGTGGTGGTCCATTGAGCACGTCTCCCAAATCACACATCATCGCTCTTTACGTGCAGGAAATAGCCAACACCAACCTTCCGCAAGCAAATTCGCATGATGCACACAAGTCGCTGCGCATCCCCCTAAATGGTTCGAGATCTGTGCCGATCGCTGGTAAGATGAAGTCGGGGACAATAACAAGAGTTACGATCCTCCTATCCTCAAGGGTGCACCTATGTGTATGAAAGGCACTCCTATTCTGACTTGGAGAAGGTTGGACAGCAAAAGCTGCGTCAGCCGACCTTCCCTCGATTGGCTTCTCGCCAGGCCGAGCCCCTCGTCCTCATCCACAGAATGACCAGAGCGCCTGTACTCACGAGAATTCCCAAGCCAGTGAACATCCATCCGGTGCCCTCGGCCCGAATCAGCGGGTGTGCGAGTATAGTTCCAATACAGGAGAAGATGTTGCGGAGGAAGTTTGCCACAGCGACGCCACTGCTAGGTTTGCGAGGGACAAACTCTGTCAGCATTGTGACGGCTAGCCCAAAGATGAGCATTGCTGACAAGCCGAAGACGAGGGTCGCCAGCAGCTGTGGGAGTTGTTCGTTAGATACATTCGAAAAAGGCCGTTACCCGGCTAGAGCAGAAACATGTGGGAAAGAATCCGAAGAGGGTGGAAGGAGCCGTACCGGAACAACCCAGAACGCCCCTTTGTCTGCACTCCAACCATACCACAGCATGGATATGGGAAACGCGATGGCAGCTATCCAAGCATTTTCCATCATTCGATCCTCAGGCCGCAAGATCAACTTGCCATTCTCATCATATCTGTTCTTCCGCTTGGCTTCTCTTGCCATGACATGGTCAGCCCACCTGCCGCTGAACAAGGCTGAGATCAAAAACCCAAAGCCCGCAGGGATGTAGGTCAGGCCGACTTTGGAGACAGAAAAATTGTACGGAGACTTGGCGAAGACGTCTTGGACCGAAATGTTGACGATGTAAAGCGTTCCGAAGGCGAGCGATGCCCAGTACGCTGTGAAAAGAATGGGAAGGTGACGGAGAAGCAGGACCATTTTCAGCGGGTCGACAAGCACACCCCAGGACATACGGAGGTATTTCTTCGTGCGGCCACGAGTCATAGAGGCGGAAGATCCCGCATCTGCTTCTCGCGCAATGTCCTCGCTTGGATCCTCGTGTCTCCTGACCGTCTCTGGTAATGCAAAGAGAAGAAAAACAAGGCTGACTCCTCCATAGATCACAAGGAACCACTGTGTGCTTCTCCAGCCCCATCGAGCAGCTAGGAATCTTGTCCAGGTTGTCAGCACCGATGATATTGGCAATCGACAGAAGAGAAAACAAGTGGACACTTTTGGGATCTTGCTTTCAGGCAAATCTTACCCGCCAATGATGGGAGCGAGCAGCGGTCCGCACAAAGGGCCCATGTAGAACCGACCCATCGCTTTACCTCTTTCAAAAGGCTCCCAGATGTCGGCCAAGGTACCCGCTCCGACTGCTTGGACTGATGCCCCAGCCCCCCCGGACAGCATGCGCATAGCCACGAAGACACCTATGGTTCTGGCTGTTGCGGAGAGAATGGCGAAGAGGACAAAAAGAGCCAAGGAAACGAGGTAGGTCGTTCGACGGCCGGCCGTTTCGCTCAGAGCAGACCACCAGAGAGGGCAGAAGGATATGCTGAGCATGTAGAGAGCGACGGAGAGGTTGGTGACGGTGGGGCTGGCATGGAGGTCCCGAGCGGTGTCGGCGAGAGCAGCTAGCAAAGGGAAGATTCACCGGTTAGATACAGAGCCCTGCTTCTGTGGATGAATAACTTACGGTAAATGATGGCACTCCCCAGCGAAGTGGCCGCCGCAGCAAAAGCCACCACGAAAGTAATGAACCATTTCCTGCTTTTTGGATAGAGATATGGATCATCAACCTCAGCAAGCAGAGTCAGGGAAGCGAAGAGACCCCTTCTGGCTAATCGAGGAATCGCGGTAGGTTTGTTCGGGCTGGACTGTAGGTCCGGGGGTGTGATGTTTATGCTTCTCGCCTGGGCCAGCATATCTGGAGAGGCATTCTCCAGGTCTATTCCTTGGCCTTTTTCCAGCGCCAGAGGTGACGATATAACCTCTAATGCCTCATTAGGGGTTTTTGTCTCGTTGCCGTGGCATTTGGTGTCTTCGGTGCTGTGTACGGCTTGGTCTGAATGATGGCCAAGTCCTTCCATAGGGGTCTTGTCCATTGAGAGACAGTATGCAGGTCAATGCCCATTGACAATCAAACAGACAGTGAATTCCTGACAGAAGTTTCCAAATCTCAGGAGGCTGTGGTACTAAAAAGGATAGAGAAACAAGCAGATTCAAGACTCAAGTTTGAGACTTATCTCTGTGGCAAAGCTCAAGATGTCCCAGGCGACCAACACTCGGATGGAAGCCAGACCAACGTCGCTCCACGGCAAGAGACACTGATTCCATCTATACTTGTGCAAAACAACGACAAGGATATCAGAGTCACAGTCAGAGGCACGCGCGCAATTTCCGGATCTGGGATGACGAGGGAGTCGGCAAGCTTGCCGTTGTCCTTTGGTCGATCAGTGCGGGTTTAATGGAGATCAACCGCGGAAGCTCCACCGGCATTTCCATCTTCCCTAATACTAGATAGATACCCGAATCGATAGGTACCTAGCAAAAGGACTTTGTTGGACAGTTAGTAGCGTCAAAGTCAAAACAACGCTCTTCGTGCCGTGTGTGGGTCGATGCCGCCCACGATTCCACGAATAAGTTGGGTGTCATAATTCTCAGATATTTCGAGTCAGAGGAGGGATGGTAGATGCAGAAAACACTCTGATGAATGAGAGCCGACCATCGAGGTCTCTGCGGTAGGCATCGCTGACAGGTATCGGACGAGGATTGGCGTTGCGGGGAGCGAGTGAGAGGGTTTCGTTTCCTTCTCCTGTGACTCGGTCTGTTCTTGAGTTTGAGAATGTCTGTTTTGGGAAGCTCATGTTTGTCCAGCTCACCAACATATCTTTCTAGTCCCTGGTTCCTCTTGTGGTGAACGTGAAATCTCGCCCATTCAAGGCCGTCGCCAGAAGGTGATTTGTGACAGAGGCTTGCATGGTGAACGGCCATTGGTTGCCTCACCCTGATCTCCACCATACTGGCTGAGCTAGTCCTCTTGTGGTCATTCTCAATGACCCTCGTCAGCCTCATGAACAGCAGTTGCTCTTCTCAGTCTTATTTAACAGCTCAAGCTTGCTGTAGGATTTCTGCACCAGAATGTCTCTCGAATCAATCTCAATAAACCCTCTTGTCAGGGCATCACTGGTAAAGCCGGCAGAAAGCTATGGCTGACCTGACGCCATTTCGTTTCAAGCAACAGCACCCAAACGTGCCTTCCAAGAATCCGAGCCTTCCCAAGAAACAATGGGAAGAGTTAAAGCCCATGATATCAGGGCTTCTGCATGAAGGAGTCACCGTCTCAGAGATTCTTCGACAGCTTGACTCCCACCATGTTCACGTCACAAGGAGCCAGCTCACAACCCAGATGAACAAATGGGGACTGAACAGAGACAATGCCCAACTCCACCAAAGTGCAGATCGCTCGGCTCAAACTCTTCAAACGACTTGTCCAGACTCTACTGAAACGCAAGGTCTGGGCTCCAACATAGAAACTACGACGATCTGCGACCGTGGGTCCGTTACAGATTTGAAGACCTCGACCCTGGAACAATTCTCATCTTTAAATATCGATTCAGGCACCGACCATGTATCTGAGGCTATTGCTGCACATTCATCGCTCGGCGCAGGTCCAGGAAGTGCTCTAAACGCGGCTCCTGTTCTGGCTGTTACAAGGGACCCTCCATGTATCAATGACTTTATACATTCGGCCGTGCCCTATGAGCCATCCGCACAACTGGCTCAGACGCACAACTCAAAGTCTAAAGTGACGACCTATCCTACACTCTCTATGCCCTTCTACAGAGCGTCTAGCGCTATGTTATGGGAGCAACAACTAGCGAGCATACATCCATGTACCTTCCCAGGACGCTCCATCATCAGCAAGTTTGGTTACATGGCCACAATACTTTCCAATACAAGACACTTTGGAGAAGCTTTCGATATCTTATATCTCATTTCTTCTACACTTAATGACTGGATGGGGGAGAATATCTGGCTCAGTCGCTACTTTCTCCTCTTCGTCATAAGATGCGCTCGTTCTGCTTGTACTGTACAACAGGAGCTAGTCGCAGAAGCACTCGTCGAGCAGCTCAGTGATTGGGTGGAGAAGATGCAACAACACGTTGACCCCGGCTGCGCACAGTATATGCGAGACCTTCTTCAACTGGGCGTGGACGGGTCGGAGAGTGGAACATCAGAACAAACGGCCTATTGGATTGCTAGCTCTATGCTATCCAGCATGTGGCTTTACCTGTTTCCCACGAAAACCGGAGGAACGGAATTCCATCCCCGAGCCATCCTTGATTATCTCTACTTTTCTCCCCAAATCCAAGCGACGATGCTCGATGCTCTCTCTCTCGTTAGAGGAGGTGTGCGAGAGGCATATCGGCATCTCGAAATGCTCATTAAGGACAATATTAGTCTCTTTGACGAGTTTACATCTACTTGCTTTGTGCAAGCCCTGGTGTATCAGCTCCTCGAAGATCTCGCCTGCACTAATCCACTCTATTGGTCTGATAACTCAACTCCTGGCCAAGGCAACAAGCAGTTTTCAGAGCTTTTTTTGAGACAGGCTGTGGTGATATTGACCTTCCTTGTCGTTTCCCACTCTTCCCTGTCTTCACCCAGAAGTGTTTGTTTCCTTGAATCTGCGATTGCGGAACTTCAACAAACCTTGGAATCCGGCCCGGGGAGCAGTGACTATAGACAAGTGATTGATGAGTACCTGCAGTTGAGTTCAAGAAGGGTCGCAGAGGAACAACAGACAACTTCAACACCTTGGCTTGCTGTGGCAGTAGCCGGAGAAGTGGCAGGTCTAACGAGTCCGACACCAAAACTTGATGTCCTTGGCATATCAATCAAGCTGTTCAGGCAGCAAAGGGATTTCACAAGAGCGGATCCGATTCTTTATCCACAGTTTCAAGATGCTCCTCCCTGGGAGCCACAATCGCTGGCAATTGGGGACCGATCAGAGGTAGCAACTCTTGCTAAGTCTTTGACCCCGTCGACGAGCTCGTCGTTTAGGTTGTTCAAGTCCATCGGCTGTGGCAGCATTGCCTCTACTTCTGACCTATCGATGCGAACAGTATCTACAGGCATGTCACTAGGGGGGGTGGGCTGGCAGTTCAGCACGGTGACGGGCATGCCGTCGGATCCCTCAATCGTGTAAGCCATCTCCCTAGTATAAGGGTATCAAGCTCATTCCTTAAGGGAGACCAGCAACAACCCGATCCGTGTAGAAGCGAGAGTAGGATGAGTAGGTACAGATTTTACCTTGCATGGACATTGAATCGTTCGAAGGAGAACCACTGCTGGATATCTGGAGAGCAACAACGAGATGATGTGCTAAAGTGACAGAGGAATGGGAAGGTCAGTGGTGGAAGTGCTCTCTGCGGCACATTATGCTCGAACTGGAGCCTTTTGCTGGACAAGAATGGGACCATATAGATTTTAGTATGTTGAGGTTATTACACCTATGATGCAGATTTGTCATTACTTGATGCCTTCCGATTCCCTTCCAAACTCGTGGTTCATGAGGCACTGGCGAGGCTGCGATTTGTTGGAAAAACTTCATATCATTGGCTGAGGGTCAGCCTTGCGGCTTCTTGCCTCTTCCAACCCAATGCCGTCCGAAAGAGGAAACTCAGCCGCTGCGAATCAAATCCGGCATCTCAAAACTGGCGAGAGTCTCAACCTTTCAACACAACAGACCTCTAGAAGAAGTAGCTAGAAAAAAAATCAGCCCACCCCTTGTTGACCGAGCAAGCGTATTTAACACCCGGAGAACAGGAACGCGGGGCCCGTCTATTCGTCTCTTCTGGCTTCATCGACATTCGTACGGTTGGAAGAGAAGGCCAGGAATGATTTGAAGCGCCCAGTTCAAGCTACAACCCTGCACAAAGCACCCGAGACAGGGTACAGACGAGTCCGCCGTTCTTCCTCCGTCTTGGGGACCACGTTCACAGACCATTCCCGAGGACATTTGGAAACTAAACAGAATCTGACTATGACGACAACCGCAGCCTCCGTCACCGAGGCTTCAACCTACAACTCTTCCTCCGATGACACACTCTGCTGGACCTCCGCGCAGGAGTCGGCGCTCCTGCAAGCCATCATCCGGTGGAAACCGGTGGGGATGCACAAACATTTCCGCATGATCGCCATCCGAGACCACCTCGTGTCCAGCGGGGCCATCAACCCGGACGACAGCCACACGTCCACGGCGGGGATCTGGCGGAAACTGGCGAGTCTGTACGATCTCGAAAAGCTGGATGAGCGCGAAGACTCGATCATCTTTGACGGGTCCGGCGTGGGCGCTGCTGGCCTCGAGGCAGGGAACGGAGGCGGCAACGACGGCGGCGGAGGTGCCGGTGACGAGTCCCGCAGCGTCAGCAGCTCCAAGGACACGGAGTACTACTGGCGCGAGTTCGAGCTTCTCGGGGACGACTTTGGGGAGATGATGTGGGAGAGACGGCTTGCTCCCGACTCCGGGTCAAGTACCGAAAGCAGTTCCCTGACGCAGCCGTCCAGCCCGGAAGCCGAGTCCACAGCAACGCGGCGCGAGAGCACATTCGCCGACACGGACGAGCCGCGCAGCTCACCTGTGAGCGTCTCCGGGAGAGGGTCAGGGCGGGGCGGCCGAGGCCGCGGTTCTGGCCGCGGCAGGCTGTCCCGGCTACAGAACGAGCTGGAGACGGCGAAAAGCGAACGCGGCAGCGGCAGCCGGAGGACGAGCAAGGCGCCGAGTGTGGTGGAGCCGGACGGGGACCGAACCATGGAGGACGCGGCGGACGAGGACGCCGCCGACGAAGAGCAGGACGAGAGTGGAGCCGGCGAGGAGGGCGAGAGCGACGACCACGAGGAAGAGGAGGCCGAGCAGAAGCGGAGTGGGCCTGCGAAACGGGGGCGAGGCGGAGCACGCAGAGGGAGAGGCAGGAAACGGCGGCGATGAGCCTCTTATCGGGACCAAACAGGCATTGTGAAACTACTTTTCATTTGGAATGACAAGAGACGCCATGGCACGGATTGAATGACTAGGGACACCAGAGACTGGCGTTTGACGTGACCGCGAGAAGACGATGATTCCGCATTGGAACTGCTCTAAATCTGGGTATCAAACCCGATTGCGCGCTCCAGGCGCACTGGACAGCTTTAAATATCGCTAAGCTCCTCAGTGCCGGTGATAACTCCATCCTTCCCCCCCTTTTTCCCTTCACGAACCGTCCTTACGACGACGCCGCCGCCGCCGCCGCAGTGGCCTGCTGCCTCCCTCTGTCCTTGTCACTGCTTCTCGGTTTCTTGAAGCACCCAAAGCTGTTTCGACTCCCGTCCCTCAGTTTCTTCAACACGATCCGCATGTCGCCCAGTTCCTGCTGCAATCTCGCCCTGGCCTCGTTCGTCGTCCTCTTGTCCAACTCTGTGTATATCTGGCCTTGAATCTCCCCTGCCTTGGGCGTCGAATAGTTCGTCATGGTCTGGGCAATGAACTCCGTGTCGAGGGTCGCTTGCATCAAAGCGGGGAGGCTGTAAGTGTTTGGTTTGCGCTCTTTGAACCCCTCGAGCAGGGCTTGCGAGATGTTCTCGAGCATATAGGACAGAATCTCGCCCAGTAGTGGACTATTTGACCCCGTGGTGCTTGGGACAGTCGTAGAGACCTCCGTGTGGACCATCACGAGCCTCATTAGCGCAGCATAGACGTACGGTCTGACTTGATCTGGCTTTGGATTTGTAGGTACCCAACTTGGAGAGTTGATACCATCTTTAACGATTTGAGTCAAGTTCGCCACCATTGGTTTGGTGTATGAATGGAACAATTTGGCGTCAATTTGACCAAAAACATCCTTGATGGTCTTGGACTCTTCCGCTAGCTTCACAGAGAATGAAGATTCAAACAGTTGGATAAGAGCGGGCACATGCTCGTTCCGTAGTGCTTTCAGGTTCGACATAGTCAGGAGCATGCGAACGCTACGGCTGGAGGCGTTGATAGTGTCTTGCATCAGAGCTTCGCTCGGCGTAGCACCGACGGCAATTGAGTTGAGGCTTGTTACCAACACCCAGTCTTCCTCGTCTCCTTGGTTCGAAGCCTCGGTGTTTTCGAGCATGCCACTGGCCGTTTTGTAAATTGAGCTGACGAACTGGGTCCGGACCATTTGCAAAAGCTTCGATGGTGGTGGGGTGAGGATGTCGCGACCTCCTGGCTTGGTGGTAGTGTCGGAGAGATATAGCACTTGTTGCATACCCTGAAGTACTTTTCTCTCGAAAGCTTCGATATACATCGGCATGCGAGTCTGATCGCGTTTGTCAGGCGAGCGCACCCAGTCCTCCATTGACTTGCAGCTTTCGGCATCCTTGCTCCAGGCTTCACAGACGGCTCTCATACACCGCTCTCGAGCTCCTGCGATCATGGTCTTGATCTTATCAAACATGGCATTGTTTTTACTCACTGGACCCAACGCGACCATTTCGCCAGCACCGACCCCAACAAGGGCGAGGATCTGCTGCAGATAGTGCACGGCGCTCAGTGCGTTGGAATGAGGTGGCCAGAATGCATAGTCTTCCCAAGGCTCGCCTTTCTTGGCCGCCGCCGCAGGCAGATCTGTAGGATCAAGTCTGCCTATTCGGCCATCGGTGGGCGAAAACGCCGCTCCCATGTGAGGGGTTGTAGGTGTACCGGCAGATCCAGGTACTGGCGAGAACAGAGACGAGATGTCTTCAGCAGGCGGGTCGGCGAAAAGCGAAAAGACAGCATCCCTCAACTGGCTGACCAGTTCGGTGACGCCGCTTCGCAACCCGTTGACTTCCGATTCGGATAGTTGAAGATGCTTGCTGCTCTCACCTTCATACCCAGTGGGCAAACTTTTCTGTCTGCTGCCATCGATAAAAGACTGTGCTGTTTCCCAGAAGTCGACGATCTCTCCGAGCAGCCCGTTGGACAAAGACAGCAGCTTCGTAAAGTAGGTCAGTGTGCAGCTCCAGAAATCGATGACATCTTCGGTGTCGAGAGCTTCCGGCCGCTCTTTGGAGGCCTGTCTCAGAAACATCGCCACAGTCTCGGAGGTTGGACGTTCTCCAAGTGCCAGACGGCGGCGCAGGATCTCGATTTCAATCTTGGATCTCTCCACGACTGCAGCAATCTTGTTCTTCAAGAAGTCGTACCGGCTGAGGAGGTAAACCCAGATCGGGCTCTCCTCCACGCCTAGGTGTAACAAAACCGTGATGAGTTCCATATGCTCCTCTGCCTGGGACACCCCAGAATGTGGGAGAGCGGCCGAGGTGTTGGAGAGCTTGCGCCAAATGTCGCGTTTCAGTGCTTTTATTTGTTCATCCACACTTGACCACATTTTGCCGACAATGACAACCCGATAGACTTCATCATCTGAAAGTCCACGGCCGGTTTGCCTCACCTCTTCGCCGAAGGCTCGTGCCTCGGCGGCGTACTGACGAGCAGAATTGTATAACTCTACAATTCTGTCATAGTCTCTCTGGTTGATAGCTTCACTCAGAGACGAGCCCAGTTCAAAGATTGCCCTGTCTTTCTCCACCGCATTCAAGATAACTTTTAATTTCGCTTCACGTTCCTTTCCTCCCAGTGCAGGGCCCCAGACGTCCTCGGCCTTTTTGGAGACCTCCGACAGCGAGATTTTCATACCTTGCACGCCATAGTCTGTCTCCTTGCGTAATGCATTTTTGCTCGGGCGCTGAGGAGGTGTCACACCAGCCGCACTGCCACCGCTAATATTCCGAAAGTGGATGCCACTGACGCGACGAGAATGGCGGGGAGACGGGGGAGTATTAGCATGGGTATCAATGCCCTGGTTCCGCATTTCGGTATACACATTGTCGATGGTGGCTTTGGCGCGGACGAAGCGCTCAAAGTTGGTCTCCACCAAGGCTTTGAGTGGCGCCGATTGCTGGTCGATGGACCTGGCCAGATATTTGGATCCTTGTATCAGGTCTTCTGTGGTGTCATCGGAGTGAGTTGTCGACAGGAATAATTCTGGAGAAAAGGTTGTTGAGGAGAGCATGAACCTGTTTCTGTACCGTGTGTCATGTTCCGCTGGCAGGCCAAGGTTCGTCAACGAGGTCACCACGCTTGATGGCGCTCCCAAAGGATCTGGTTCATCTTTCTGCACCAGATTCGCCCTTCCCTCGACCGTTCTCTGGGATCCAGGGAGAAGACTCTTCCTCTCACTAGCGGTCCTCTCCAAGGCTGAATAACGGGAGCGAGACCGTCTGACGCCCGCGACATCCGGGTCCTCGTCATCGCTATCCAGCTCCGCCGGCCATTCTGTCGGAAACGGATTGGATATGTTGTAGTGATTCAATATGTCTCGTGTCTGGGCCATGGTGGACAGACTGAGGACGAGCCGTTTATTGATGTCTTGGAGACACGATTTATTGTTTGGACCACAAGGAGGCCCGAGCCACGAGATTATTGGAGGGAGATTTCTCGCAGTCACGTGCAGACTTACATAACTCCACTCTAGCTGCCCCCCCCTGCCGGCTGTGATGTAACTGGTACGTCCCTGGTCGATAAAACATTTCACAAGTAAAGCTCCACCACTCGAGCTCTGGCGCTATCTTTGCAAAGTATACGACTGCGCCAATTTCTCAACTCCGTTCCTCGCTCCATGTGGTGAACAGGATCCTTTGCTGAAGCTCTTTTGCTCTCGTTGCTCAGCAATTTCACCAATATTCGCCCACCATGATCGCTTCTCGAGCATTTGCTGCCCCAGCTCGCCAATGCCTGCGAAAAGCTTGCACGCAGCCAACATGGGCTCCCGCATACTTCCAGGTGACTGTCAGATGCTGCCAGAAGCTTCACAGTACCCATTTGACTGATTCTGGCTGTGTAGATCCAACCTAGACGCTACGCTTCGACTGCAGAAGCGGACAAAGTCGCCAAATTCAAGGGCACGAAAGGACCGGACGGAAACTACACCGTGACACTGATAGAAGGAGATGGCATTGGTCCCGAGATCTCACAGTCGGTCAAGGACATTTACAAAGCTGCAAAGGTGCCCATTGTGTGGGAGCCTGTCGATGTTACACCTCGCCTGAAGGACGGCCGGACGGTCATTCCTGACGAAGCCATCGACTCGGTCAAGAAGAACTACGTCGCGTTGAAGGGACCCCTCGCAACCCCCGTCGGCAAAGGCCATGTCTCTCTCAATCTTACCCTCCGACGAACCTTCAACCTGTTTGCCAATGTCCGCCCGTGCCGCAGTATAGAGGGCTACAAGACGCCTTACGACAACGTGGACACTGTGCTCATTCGAGAAAACACGGAGGGAGAATACTCGGGAATTGAGCATGTGGTGGTGGATGGCGTCGTGCAGTCCATCAAACTGATCACCCGCGCAGCCTCTGAGCGGGTCTTGAGATACGCTTTCCAGTACGCCCGGGATGTGAACAAGAAGAAGGTCCGTGTGGTGCACAAGGCGACCATCATGAAGATGTCCGATGGTCTCTTCCTCAGCACTGCAAGGGATGTCTCAAAGGATTTCCCTGATATCGAGTTCGACGCCGAACTCCTCGACAATGCTTGCTTGAAGATCACGACCGACCCTGGCCCATACTCCGACAAGGTTCTGGTTATGCCCAACCTTTACGGCGATATTCTTTCCGACATGTGCGCCGGCTTGATTGGTGGTTTGGGTCTCACTCCCTCAGGCAATATTGGTGACGAGTGCTCCATCTTCGAAGCCGTGCACGGTTCTGCTCCGGATATCGCAGGAAAAGGCCTTGCGAACCCCACTGCTCTTTTGTTGAGTAGTATTATGATGCTACGGCATATGGGATTGAACGAACACGCAGTCAAGATCGAGAACGCCATTTTCTCCACGTTGGCGGAAGGCAAGACCTTGACAGGAGATCTGGGTGGAAAGGCCAAGACACATGAGTACGCTGCCGCCATTATTGACCATTTGTAAGTATGCAGCTTCGGTAGGAGGCATACTTGGCTGCACGTCCTCGACGGTTTTGGAACACAGAGACGATCTCAGCGATCAAGTCGAGGCGCAGTGTATGCCGCCTTGAGCAAGTCATGTTAGGGTGGGATGGTAAAGGCCGGGGTGGATGCAGAAGCCTGAAGTCACTTTTTTTTCCGTACTTTGATTTGGTCTGATTGATGTATGATCTTACAAGTACCACGCTAGAGCGATCCGAGTCATGCAAATAACATGTATTGATTGAACAACAGCATGCGACCTTGCCTAATTGTGTGCGAGCCAGTCCATCAATTTGCACCACCTCTCAGTGGGAGCGCTATGTTGCCAATACAACAGAAAGCTCCGCTTTTGGTGAAGATACAAGGAGGTATTGTACAAGTACTGAACTCGGTCGCCGGCTGCTCGGTTGGCGGTCAGATACGGCCATTGTAGAGTGAGGCATTTTGACGCGCGAAAGTGGATGTGGCGGCAAAAGAAAATGTCCGGAAAGACCGGAAATCGATCCACGACTGGACCTGTTTTTGTACAAAGTCCAAGTGCTTGTATTACCTGCACCTGTACCAGTACCTGTTATGGTCACGACCACACGACGGGAAGTCCGGACAAGGCTATGTGTGTTGGAGGTTTCTCGATTTTGATGTTAGTATTTCCATTTTGGGAAATTGTCGGGAACCCGATCGAGCCAGCCTCAAGCGTCCACGGGCCCGACCCTGACGACTTCTCGTTCCCGCATCTCCTTGACTCGTCTTTCCTTCTCCAGACCCTTCTCCACCCCGCGCTTCTTTCTCATCAATTTGTCGAATCGCCCTCGCACCCCGAATTTGACCTTGGTAATCATGTCGCCAGCCTGTCCCTTGGTCAAATCCATCTCGGTCAGGGGCTCCTCCTCAGAAACTTCACGGAGTCGGTTAAGAAAGTCGAGTTGGCCCTTGGAGGCGGGTGATTTGCGCCAGGACGATGATGTCGCGATGAATACACGTTCAAACTTCTGAGCCGCGAACGTGTCGGCAGCATGCAAGGCGTCGCTGAGCGTTGCGGCGGTTGCCACAGTGCGAGGACGAGACCAGGGCGATTTGGAAGTCTCGGTTGGGGGAAGAGATTGTTTCCATATGACCATGTACGAGGCGTCAGTGGCCCTAGGATTAGAGTCGGATTTGGAGTAGGGAGTGTCGGTAGGGAGGCGGCGCTCAAGGGTTAGGATTCCACCTCTCGCCGCAAGAACATACTTGTAAGAATCGATCTGGACCCAGGCATTGGGGGATATGGCGCGCAGGTGTCGTTCGCCTGAAGTATCTTCGATAAGGTCGTGCACAGAGTCATAGTGGATGAAGTCGAGTTGATGATTGCCGGACACACCATCGGAATCGACAAGGTGGCTTGCTGCATTCGTAGAAACTTCTTTCTCGGTTCGGCTATCCTTCAACGCTTTCAAGTCGTCGACTTTGGCCGACCTCACCATCTCAGACGGGTCAAGGCCAAAAAGGGTCGGTACCGTCACGATACCAGTCTCAAGGGAAGCGACCATATCAATAACATGACAGTCCTTCTTGCCCGGGTACAATCTCATACCCCGACCAATCATCTGAACGAGCAGATTGCGGGATTTGGTTGGTCGCGCAAGCAGCACGCAGTCAATATTAGGCACATCGGTCCCTTCAGTAAAGACACCGCAATTTAGCAAGACAGGGAATTCGCGGTTCTTGAATGACTCAAGTCGTTCGCCACGTACGCTCTTCTTCGTATTGCCGGTGACAGATTGCGCATTGATGCCGTGTTTCCTGAATGTGGAGGTCAAGCTTGCCACATGGTTCAGATCGACGCAGAAGACCAAGGTCGATTTCCGGTCGCTGGCTTCATCCATCCACGCCCGAACGGTGATTTCGTTGGTGATTTCAGTATTGACGGCAGCCGAGAGCTGACCCGTCTGAAAGTCTCCATCCTTGCCACTTCGAACCCTTGAGAGATCTGCTTTCGACCTGACAGTCGTGAACATGACATCCGACAGCCACTTCTCGCCGATCATGTCGATGTAGTCTTTATGATAGACAATGTGGTCGATTGCTGTCCCCAACTTGAGGCCGTCGAAACGAGAGAAGGTAGCTGAGACGCCAACGAGGGCTGGACCAGTACTTGTTTGCTGTTCCAAGCCAAAATGCTGGAGGACTTGCAGGTACCCCGGAGCCACGATGTGATGGGCCTCGTCGACAAGGACGAGCTTGAATCTTTCGGGGCTGTATTTGCTCAGCCGCTCGCCAGAGACCATGCTCCGGACAGATGCCACCGTAATGTCTGCGGCACCTGAAGCGTGAATGTCTCCCATTTCAATGTCTATGCTCTTCTCAGGGTATGCTCTCTCGCAGTGACGTGCTGCCTGTTCCACCAGCTCTCGCCGATGAGCAAGGATAAGGGTCTGTTGGGCAGTTGGACTTGGTGGCTCGATTCGACTGATCAATTGCGTGAATATCACCTTGAGAAAGCAGCGTTAGCATTGCTCTGATGCATCCACCACTCCTGACATTGAGCGCACCGTCTTCCCACTTCCAGTAGCTAGTGATATGCCCAAGCGCCTGTGGCCCTTCTCCAGATATGACAGAATTGATTGAATGCATTCTTCCTGATATGCCCGTAGTTGTATCACCTCGTTACGAGCCGCTGGTGATGTATGGCCGACGACGGTCGCCAGCGACCGGCGTGCGAATGGTGAGATCGGCAGACATTTCGCTGGATGGCCAAGTGCGGAAAGCCATCTGAAGGCTATTACCATTATTTGGCACGGTGCATCGTGGGATAATTAATGACATTGGAGTGAAGGCCGTCGTAGACTTTGGGACTCTCTTAACCTGCCGCTTTACTCCACGGCGCACTTGGCCAGACTTGAGTCGTACAAAGGTTTCAATGGTTGTACGACGTATTCTAACCTCCGTCCAGAGCAACGATGTCTCAACTTGCAACCCTTGACCACCTCCACTTACCCTCAGCTAAGTTTCGATATCCAGATCGAGCACGGAGCACCTTCGATACCAACATCAAGCTATCGTCTTGACACTTTTGAGAAAATGCCCGAAAATGCGAGCTGCATCGGTGAAGATGCCGACAATATGTTGTCTCTTGTCTAGCTCGCGTGCGGACTGCAGATGTCGTGAACACTGCAATTGAACTTATATGTTCTCCCATCTCCTCGTGGCCAAAACACTGCGTCGCAGTCCGTCTCGAGAAGTGCAGAATTCTCTCACACCATGTTCAGGTTCCGATCCAGGCTCACACTCTGCAAGTGGAAATCAGAAGCACCATTGACAAATATGCTCCCTTCGCCAGCGTCTCGACATTTCGAGGGCGGCAGGGTTTCTCACCCGAGCCCAGGACCGTCAGCAGCATCGTCAAATTCGGCAGCATCTGGGGTCAACCATCCATTCTTCAGGTAGAAGGTACTCATGATTATACGCATCTTAGTCGGAGCTGGTTTAAAGCCCGACTTTCAATGGGTCCCATACTCGACAATTTCTTCCAACTTGCCCGTACATGAAAGTTGGGCCAGAATCTGCCGGAGAATCAATGGAAACGATCTTGCCACCTCTTCAAGTTGTTGGACGGTGGCACAGGATCGCTTGCCGTTGTATGCCTGGCAATCGGAGAGTCACAACTCAATAGGGTCGACCGATTTGCGCAAAATCTTAGGATTGTCACCACAACAGCTCGGTAGGGTTTCGCAGCTGACGAACCTGACAGTCCGCACCTGCAATAGCTGCACTTGTTCGGTTCAGATACCGGTGCTCTGTAGGAGCTCTTGCGCGTGGATTTACAACTGCGGATCACTCAACGCGAGCGGCGTTCCTGACGGATCTTAAGCTGCAAATATTGTTGGTGCACTTTGATGAAAATGTCATGCTTTTGGCTGGTGGTGCTCAGTGACCCTTGGGCTGGGCATATCGCCCTTTGACTTCTCAAACCCAGCCGTTTGTATTGACAATGGGTAAGTTCATAGACTGCATTTGGACCTTCTTGTCCTCGCACCACACTAAGCTACATGAAGTATCTTTCCTAACCCCTCATCCCTAAATAGTTTTAACTAACCTTGAGAAGTAATGTGTGAACGTCGTAACACCTTGTGCCCTAGCCAATTGAGTGAGTTGAGTGCCGTTGCCCTGATATAGAACGTCTATTCTTGGCAACCACCTCGCGCTCTCCCTCTCCCTCTCCACACACGCCCCTCGATAGAAAAAAATAAGATAAAAGGGACTCCGGCTGTCGCAGGAGCTGTAATCGATAAGAATTCATAAAAAAATCAAGGGTGAAGACCCCCCCTGTTTGCCTCCAACAAGATTCGAACTTGTGATCTTCGCATATATTGCGTTTACGCATTACAAGTGCGACGCTGAACATTCCTATTAGGATTGATACTTCCCAAGAGTGTTTCTGGAGCACTTACCGTTACCCCTGCGCCATGAAGGCCCGGATGAACATTCCTCCACACGGTGGAATAGTTCTCGAGATGAAAATGTGGTGAAATTTTTGGAACATGAATATAGAAAGATTGAGAGCAGAAGAGCCAAGAAAAGGCTGAGTCAGGACATTAATCCACAGCTGCCAAGCCGCTCCACAGTCAGCCAACAGGAGCGCCGTCAGGGGCTGTTTAGCCTGTGGTTGGCTCACAGTGCCATCAAGCGACTGGTATAGTGAAGGGTCAAGATCTGGATGCCGGTGGCGGCGACCACCTTACAGACCCTGGCAATATCGCATGCAGCATAGTCTCTGGTCTTCATACTAACGTATACCGGTGTCAAATCGCTGATACAAAATCGGCTTCAAGAAGGCTGGTCCAGCAAACCTAGCCGGCATGAGGCTGTGTGAAAATGAGTCGTGTTGAAGAAGAGCCTTGTCCTCAGTCAACCCCCCTGGACATATTTGGCGTACGCTTTGACCAAGTCGATAGGGTCATTGTTGTCAGTATTTCCGTGTATGGTACCAGCTCTAACCAATCTTTACGCCCAAGCACCTCGTACATTGGGAGATACACGAGGTACATGGACACCGTCTTCTTCAAAGCGCGTCGACTAGCCCGATCGGTATTTGATGAAGATCGATATGTGTTATTACGGAATTAAGAGGGGACATGTATGATTCGCTCGTTGGGAACGACATCTCGCCGGATACGGTCATTGTCTCTCGTGTTCATACCAGGACCCATTGTCCTTTGTGGTCTGTCAAAGAGCGACGGGAACATCAATTACTCAACCGCCCGATCGACTACCGGCTATGTTTCAGCAAAGCATGGGTATCCTCTCCTTGCAAAAGTACCCACGCCAGAGAAGGAGAATCTCCTGCCACACGGGAAGAGGACTAGTACCTTAGCGACGGCGAGGACGGGCTCAAAAGCTCGCCCTAGCCTATTCGGGGAATACACCAATGTCGTTTGTCCCGATATGCAGCATCCATTCCCTTGTTCATGGAACTCAGACCCAAACTGTCTTGCAACTTATCTCCGGCCTGCCTCGGTCTGATCTCGTTCCCACTCTGTACGGGAGGAGATCCTGGTAGGGTAGCTCAATACGATACCCACATGGAAAAGAGCCATTCGCCCGCAGGATACATTAAATCTTGTGTCAGATGTACCACCCAAAGGCACTTACGAAACCCACCATCTTCTCTACATCGAAACGCTATTTAATCTACAGCAACAAGGAGCAACTCAGTTACTCGACATGCGGATGGCAAGGGCAGCACGTCTCCATGGAAACAAATGTGTCAAAATTGAAACGTTGCCATTGCCAGATACGGCGTTGGCAGAGAACCATGTCGAGGTGGCTCCGGCCTGGTGTGGAATATGTCAAGGGGATGTGGCAGAATATGCCCATGGACCGGTATGTCTATCGGGTTTGAGACTCTCGAATGTAGGCCGACTTCGTCTCCTGACAAGGGTGTGCTGAAAAGTTGTATACACCATCGCCGGGGAATCCACACCCTCTCAGTCACCAGCATTTACCCATGGTCATCGGCCACGAGTTCTCGGCGATCGTCACCCAGGCTCACCCTTCAGTGGCTGCCGACTTTAAAGGCGGCGACCGCGTGTCGATTGAGCCGATCCGAGGAGATGGAGACTGCCACATGTGCATTCAAGGTCGCGAGAACAATTGCGAACGACTGTCGATACTCGGCCTCACTCAAACGGGTGGCATGATTGAGCGGCTGTCGGTACCGGCTCGAAAATGCCACAAGCTGGAACCCAGCATATCTTTACAGGTGGGGGCGCTTGTCGAGCCTCTTTCGGTGGCATGGCAGGGCGTCGTAAACTCAAAACACATCTTGGATAACCACCTCAATGCCTCAGTGGTCATTATCGGGACCGGCATGATTGGGATTGCCACCGCCCTGTGCCTTCGAGCTGTGGGCAAATTCCGGGTCTTGATGATCGGCAGATCCGCGGCACGCAACAAGATGGTCCAAAGCCTCAGTCTCGCAGATGTCGTCGTGGATTTCAACGACACGTCCCTGAGCGAGAAATTGGAAAACTACTTCCAAGGGTGTGTGTGACCGGGATTTCATTGTTCATCCGTCAGGACCCCTGGAGCTCTACAAAGTTGAAAGTAACGATATTCAACGGCCTCAAAAAATGCTCGTGTGCTGACACCCGAGTCTTCTTAACTAAAGACTAGGTCCATGCTGCATCTTCGACACTGCCAATTCACAATCCACGTTTGACCTTGGGATAGATCTGCTCCGGAAAGGGGGCATGTACTATACCTTTGGCCAGTTTCACAGCAAAGTAAGTGTCGATCGACGTCGCAGTTCTAATTGCCACTAGGCTAGAAGCTGACACCCGGTTAGGTCTCGGTCGACATGAACAAGATCATTTCAAAGGCAATCGTCGTCACCGGAGACGGATGCTACCGGTCCGGGACGTTTGCGTCCGTCATCGAAGCCATCTCCCAGGGCTTAATTTCCACCAAGACTCTTGAACGACTGGTGACCAGGAGGATCGCGCTGGGTGAGGTAGAGGACAGGGGTCTGAAAGAGCTGATGGAGAACAAAGACCAACATATCAAAATCCTTGTTCGAGTGAACGGCGATACTCTGGAATGAGGGAAACTGTACAAAGACTGATATTTTGTCACCCAGAGTCTGTACTTTTGAATTGAAGATCTACATGATATGTGTCTCTGCCAAAATCACGGCAAACCGCCGTCGATGGTGATTGTACTGGCTGTGATGAACCTGCTTTGATCTCCAAGGAGATATGCTATGAGGAAGGCGATCTCGTCCGGTCGGCCTTTTCGTTGGATGATCTGGTCGGCGGGCACGCCTTCAAAAGCGGCTGTCATGGGGGTGTCAATGACACCTCTAGCAAGAATGGATCCACCTGTCAGCAAGTGTTTCTTTTTCCGCTCTGGGGAGGAGGGGTAAATGTTTGCTCGGCCAGAGGTGATCAGCTGTGAGATTTCTTACGGGCAGATACAGTTGGCGCGGATCCCCTTTGCTCCGACTTCCTGTGCGACAGCCTTCGTCAGACCAATGACTCCGTGCTTGCTGGCACAGTAGGCGGCGTAATTGGCCGTGCCGTGGAGTCCCGCCCTGCTGGACGCGTTGACGATACTGCCGCCGTCATTCATGGATCGAATTTGGGCTTTGGTGCAGACAAAGACCCCGGTGAGGTTGACATCGAGCACCAGCCGCCAGTCGTCGAGGGCAAAGTCGCTCACCAGGCCTTGTCGCAGCACGCCGGCGAGGTTGACGGCGCCGTCCAGAAAGCCGAACCTCTGCACCGTCTGGCGAATCCACTCGTCAACCTCATGTTCGTGGCGGACATCAAGCGCCGTGCACATGACGGCGCAATCGGGATGCTGTCGCTTCACTTCGGCCGCCACTTCTTGCAGCTTGTCGAGGTCCAGGTCGGCGATGGAAAGATTCGCTCCCTGTCCAGCGAGGCAGATGGTGGTCATGCGCCCGATGCCGGACGCTGCCCCGGTGATTGCGATTGTCTTTGCCAACAGTGCCATGACGAGATGGGTTTGTCCCGCAGATACTGTAGGCCCGGGGAGTCAGGTCTGTTATCGGTCCGCACCAAGTGTCCTTTCAGGGAGGAAATTACTCTGGGTAGGTAGGATTTCTCCTGTGGTCCAATCGGAATTGGAGTCCTCATCTCTCGTGGTCTGGGGGACATTCCAGCTTCTTTCTCGGAATATACTCAAGGAAACAAGAGTGTGGAGATCTTGACCGGGCACATACGTGTGGGTCCGTGTGTGTCGTAAAGTGGACAACACATTTCCCCTCCAAGCCAATAGATTCCGAATCTTGTGGTTGATTCCCGCATCTCATTGGCTGCAGTTCGACCGACTTGGTATGGGATGGGAACTGTGCAAGGATCCGGGGATTGTGTGGGACAGATTATGGGGATTCGCATGAAATTCCGGGGTCGCCAAATGCTTTCATTCTGCACCTCGGCCCCCTATACGGAGAGGATGCGTTGTTGCTTATACAAAGGAGGTACACACGGTTTTGGCTGTGGCCTTACGGACCATCAATCCCTTCCTTCACCCTCCACTTTGCTATCGCTCCCCTGATCATTACAACCTCTTGAGATTTGACGCCGCTTTCGCTCCGACTCGGCATTGACAGAAATGGGGTCCAAGCTTGACGGCAACGATGAAAACGCAGGCACGGCGGTCCAGGTTGAATCCTCCTCAATTTGTTCGACAAAAGAGACGTTGCCGCCACAGCCAGCGGCCCCTCACAAGATCTCCCTGTCGACATATCTCGCAATAATATCATTCTGGGTAAGCCCTGTAGCTCCCGCAAGTGTGTGTGTACGGGAGAGATTGTATCTGATTCATGGCTCGTGTCTTCTTAACCTGAGAATTCCTACTAACAACAAATCTAGTTTCATTATGCAGCGGCCAACGTGGCCATTGTCATGATCTCGGCCGTCATTGCAAATATAAATCAAGATATAGGTGAGAGAGGCCCCCCATACCTCCATGGATGTCGACTGCTTACCCTTCAATCCAGGCCCAAGCCCCGTCTACACATGGCTTGCGTCAAGTCTGGCTCTGGCCTCGAGCATCAGCGTAGGAGTTGCTGGGACTGTGACTGAGTAAGATGCACAAGAGTCTACAAAGACGCCTACCGGGGTCGGTGTGCCGGGAGACTGACGGACATCAAACATAGCCTCACCGGACGACGAGGATATTCGATCCTATTCGGACTCGTTGGGATTGTGGGATGCATCGTGGCTGTCACGTCCAAGAATATCAGCCAGTGTAAGCACTCGAGACTCTGTTGATGGTATATGCACATCTTCAAGGCTCAAGCTGACAACGCTGTAACAGTGATCGGCGCCAACGTTCTCGTCGGTCTCTACATCGGCTCCAGCGAGAACAGTCTATCAGCCGTTTCGGAATTGGTGACGCACAACCAACGCGGTGCTGTCATGGCTTGTTTCAATGCTGGGATCGGCGTCTTTACCGTCTTTGGTTCCTTGATAGGTATGGAAAACACAGTCCATAAGCGAGTCACTCTCGCCAGTCGCTGCACTTCGGTTTTCTGTGGTCGAGGAAGAGAAAAACAGAATCTAACAAGAATATAAAAATACCACAGCTCATGCCATGGTGAGGAATGGGTCCTGGAGAAGCATTTATTACCTTGTCATCGCCCTGGACGTGGCCGGCACCGTCGCCCTCTTCTTTCTATATCATCCACAAGCTCCCTTGGCCGGGTTCAGCTCGTATCGATCACTGGTCAGAGGCTTCGATTGGTTTGGCCTCCTTGGACTGATGGTTAGTTGGCGAACTCTTCCTCTGACTCGAGAAGGGAATGTTACTGAAACTCGTGGGTGCAGACGGGCCCTACACTCCTACTACTGGCCATCACATGGCTGGGTGGAACATACCCGATATCAGATGTTCGCGTGTTGACGACGTTGATCATTGGCATCGTCGCGATTGCCCTGCTCGGAGTCTATGGTAAGTTTTTCCAACAGAAAAAGAAGGACCTGCTTCTTCAAAGTCACCACGTTTTCCTGATATTCACTCGCCTTGACAGAGGCCTTTGTGCCCGAAAATCCCCTCCTCCATCCTCATCTTTTCCGCCGTATCCGGACTTTTACTCTGATTCTCATCGTCACCATCGTGGGAGGCATGCTGTAAGTGACCTTTTTCCGCTTGTGAGAATCTCTCACCGCTGGTGTGGGATACGGGGAGGATATGTTCAACTGATTTCGAAAACCCACGCAGATACTACTCGCTCTTGTCCTTCTTCCCCCTCTACCTGTCCCTGATCTACGTCAACGACCCCTCGGACGACATCAAGATCGGGGTCTACAACATCCCCTTGCAAGCGGGCAGCTTATTTGGCGGGGTGACCACCTTCTGGGCTCTTCCCAAGCTGCGAAAACCCCGACCAATGCTGATCATCGCGGTACGTTTGACCGTTTTTCTTTGTGCCATCTCGAGCTCTTGACTGAGATCTCCGCTGCAGGTCTTTGTTCAGCTCCTCTTCATCGCCCTCATGGCTATACCCAGTAAGTAACCCACATCCCGCGTCCAATCACCCTTGTCCGGGCGAGGCTGGACGGGAAGGAAAATCTCGAGGAATATGCCAGTACTGAAAACACCTCAATAACAGATCAAAACCAACGACCAATGGCACTGGCATTCTCTTTTTTTGGAGCTGTAGGGCTCGGTATGTTTTTCCCCCTTCCTCTCTCTCTCTCTCTCTCTACCCAAGAGTTGAATAACCAAAGTTTTTTCCGAGTCCCTAACTCTCCATCATTAGGATCATCTGTCTCTCTCTCGGTCCTCCTGATCCAGTTTTCAGTCCCGGACAAATACATGTAAGTCCCGCCCATACGAGATATATGCTCTCTCCACCTTTCCTGTTGTCGTCCACAAAACATCAACGAAAAACCTCCTCACTGACACACAACTCCCCTGTGGCGTCGGTCCAGCGGTTTCGCAGGGGGCATGCTGTCGCTGTTCCGGTTCGGCGGAGGCGCCGTCGGCACGGCCGTCTACTCGTCCATCTTCTCGTCGAGGAGCGCCGACAAGGTCCCCGCCTACGTGGCCGCGGCGGCACTGCGAAGCGGCCTGCCGAGTTCGTCGGTCGATCAGCTCTTGGGGGCCATGTTGACCGCGACGGGGGGCCCCGTCACCGACGTCCCGGGATACACGGCCGAGATTGGCGTCGCGGTCAGCCACGCCGTCAAGTCTGCGTACGTCGCGTCGTTTAGGTAAGTGGTCTCTACATATCCCCAGAGAGAAGAAGAAGAGGAAGAAGAAGGCAAAAGAGCTAACACCATCGAAACCAGATACGTCTGGCTCTCGTCCATCGCATTCGGCGCCGTCTCTCTCATCTGCACCATCTTTGTCAAAGACGTAAGTAAAGATTTCTACTATTTTCTTTTCCCCCTCTTCCAACATCTTTTTTTTTTGGTTATTACTTGTTCCAAGTCACCGAGTAGATAGTGTGTACTAATGACCCTTCGACAAAACTATACAGCTCAGTCACCAGCTCAACGACACGGTCGCCATCAAGCTGAAAAAGGAACAACAACAAGAACAACAAGAACAAGAACAAGAACCCGTCGCGGAAACGGAAACGGAAATGGAAAGGAAAACGGTCGTGGGGAAAGAAGACGACGACGAGTTGGACACCAAGACGAATTAGTTGATTTCCCCTCCCCTCCAAAAGGCTACTCGATACCGACTAGTTGTTGTTGTTGTTGTTGTTGTCGCCCGTGCAAGCAACCACAAGGAAATATATGGAACTACACACTAAGTAGGTCGGTTGGACGGTCGGTCTGTCAGCCGCCCGGCCGCTCACTTGGAGAGTACTGCCCGCTCGACATTATGACATGTGGTCTATAAGAATGAGGAGAAAATTTAGAATAAAAACAAATGCACCAATTGTTTCGGACGGCCAAAAAAAGGGAGAGATATCCATAACGAGCTGAACAAGGCATTGATTGGGCAGAGAGAGGAAGTTTCAATACTCGTCAACCCTTAGAGCGCCAAAAGGCTCACAAGGTCATTCATTCCATGTACTATACTCTACTAGGGCATCTGCCAAGCTCAAGTGATGGTTTCCAAAACCCTTGTTGTTCTCCTTGTCCACCTCTATGAAGTGAAGTGGGCATTCGTCCGTCCTGTCACCCACATAATTTCCCATATCTCGTCACACCAGCTGGTTGGCTACAACAGCCTTAAGACCAGCTTCTCGAAAAAGTCAAGCGCGACTCGGTTGATTGAACGACAATGGCTTACACAAAGGCGCCAGACATCATGCTATCTAGAGTGCCAGATAATTCGCCGGCGCCTCCCATGGACGTGGCGCCACCGTCGTAAAGGGAAAAGAAGGAATTGAACGAATTGAAAAGACCTGGCGAATTCGACATCATGGCGTCATTTTGTATGCCGGTCAGGAACGGATCTTGCTCAAGGCTTCTGTTGGCTTGGACATGATAGCTGGCTGACTGACTGTCGGGTGCAAAGGTTGTGCTCGGCATCTGGCCGACTGCGTTCTGGTCCGAACGCCTCGGGTCACGCAATATGGACCGACCATTTTCTGATGAAGGAGTGTGTATGCGCTGTGTCATGGTCGTGGCGGCGTTGTTGTTATTATTCCGGTGGTGGACTTCATGAGAAGATTCGTGCAACGCCGCAGTACCCGCCTGATCAGGTGCATTGTCTCGAGCAGATATCGGGGGCGTGAGCGTCTGTGGAGGGATTTCATGATTGGAAGAAGCGGGCCGTGCTTGAGAGGGGCGACGTCGACTGACGTCTATGCCAGGCTCACGCCACTGATGCGGACCATCATAAGGGACATATCCTCCAAAGTTTGACAATGGTGCTACAGATGGCCGTGGTGACAGTTCCAGGTCTCTTTCGATGGACCTCGTCTTGCGCGAACTGTCCCGAGTGTTATTCAGCTCGACCTCTAGCGCAGAGAGGTTCTTCTCCAGCATGCTTGATATGCCCCAGTAGCTTTCGAACTGGAGGTATGTCATCCGGAGCAACTCCGCATTGGATGCAGTCAATTGCTTTTCCGAGTTATCGGTTTGTAACAATTCGCGCTTCAGAATCTGGACCGCAGTCGCCAGCCATATTGTATTAGCCAAAAATGGATTCACAAACTTGTAGTGGTCCCTGGGCGTCCGCTGGATGATATTGACGACGCTCTGAGATGCCTGGAGATACAGGACAAAGCACTGTCTCGCGGCATTGTTGGGCGCCGTGCTGCCAAATTGTCGCTGCGGTGCAAGTCCGCTCTCGGCATGTTCTTTGAACTTGGCGAGTTCTGTCTCGAGGTGGATCCAGCTCATTTGACCTCGAAAGACAAAGTATTTGTAGATCATTAGCCGGGCTAGCTGTACCACCATATGCATGGTGTAAATTTCTTGGTGCAGCAGGCGTGTTGAGGTGGCAGGGGACTCGGAATCCCGAGGAGAGAAATTGAGAAATTGATTCCGGTATCGAAGCTCGGCAGGCATCATTTCGACGGCGCACTCCAGCACGTTGTGAAGAGTGCTCACCTTGTTATAGCCTTCACGCGCTTCTCGGACTCGGCGATTCTGGTCGAGTTGGATCTGCGTAGGGTCGTAGTACCTGTCCTGTCGGGATTTCTCGAGAGCCTTGATCGGGCGAAGATGATTGTCGTCCCCTTGGGTCACATTCTGCGCGTCCTTGACGATGCTGTCAACCACAAGGAACCACGCTTTGTACGACTTGTTCCCCGATGATCTCAACTTCTTCCATCGGTGGACGATGTTCGGGTCCAGGTAGCAGCTTTCCTGCGGCTCGTTCAAAAACCAGTTCTTGTCGGGCGCCGGGAGAAATGTTTCGTTGCAAGACCAGTCAATGCCCGTGGGACAGCGGCGCACTACGCTTGCAAAAACGTCCATCTCCCATATTGCCCACCATGCCCGCCGCTTTTCTTCATCTTCACGCCATTGGTCGACGTCATCGATCTTGTCGTGCGGTTCTACGCCTTTGTCGACCGCGTGGAGATTCATTTCGTAGGCGCAGCGGATACAAACGCCCAAATATCGCCACGACTTTCCTCGAACTGACCTGATCAGCTGCCAATGGTTGATCAGAATCATGGCTTGCAGAAGCGACAATGGCACTCCTTGTTCGCTATACTCGAGCATGGCTCGTTCGGCAAACTGCTCGGCCAAATTTCCAAAGTGTTGGGACAAGTCCTTGGTCGAATCGAGGTTGATTAGGGCCGCTGCCGCCGCTATGCAGGGATCGTGGCCGGCGTCCTGATCTCGAAAGGCGAAGATGAGGATTGCGGCGACCAGAGCGTTAAGCTCGTTTTTGCTCTTGATCTGTTGTAACTTGTCCCAAAAGGTGGGGCGGTGGAAGAGCTGGAAAGATGGGAAGGTGTCGAAAAATTCGTCGACCCTGGGCATTTCCAAGTTAGAAACGATATCTTGACGTGCGCGCGAGACCAGGAGGAGCTTACAGCGTCTGCAAATCATCCTGCGCTAGACCGAGCGCGTGGCAGGTGGACTCGAGGGTCGATTGCCCGCTTGAACTGTCATCTACGATGACTTTGGGGTCAGTCAACGAATCCTCGGCCAGCCGTTCGTGCGAGGGGTGCATGATAAACGAGAGCGACTGGATATCGTGCGAACGCCGAGACAATCCGCTCGACACTGAAGTCGACGGCGATGAAGCTTGATAGAGTGTGGCCGCCAATGGCATCCCTGATGGCTGAGGAAGAGGCAGCATGTGCGATGGCATTGGTGTGCGACGAGGCTGCAGCTCTGGTTGATGGGATTGCGCATGCGACCCGGATGAAGGGGAATTCGACTGCAGCGGCGGGTGCGGTTGTGGTTGTGGTAACAGGCGCGTCTGCTGCTGTTCTGATGGCGGCGTCAGTCGGAGCGCTGGTTGCTGGGCCTGTTTCTCCTGAGCATGTCCAGACTGCTCAGGCTGCGTAGCCTGGCCACCACGGACCCTGTCCGTCGCAGAGTCTTGTTCCCGCTGCTCCTCAACAATTGACCCATGTTTGCGCTTTCGCGCCTGCTGAGTGCTTCCGATTTTTGGTCCTGGCCGAGTCGAACTGGCGGGATATTCGCAGGCCTGATTTGTTTGCAGACAAATTCCGCACTGAGGGATTTCCCGCGTACACTTGACCTTTCTCCGGCGGCACGAGCAGCATGCAATGTTGGATACAGAAGAGCCTGAGCCCGCGCTGGTTCCGTATGTAGGGAATGAGGCCATGGTGAGGCATCCAAGGGAAGAGGCTGTTCTGTGTGTTTCGAATGGTCAAATCGACGAGATGATTTGAAAGAGAGGAGAATTGCACAATATCTGCGCTAGAATCTGTGGGGGTGGTGTTGAAGTGGCACATCTTGAGTGATCGCTGGGGTTCCCCAGCTTTCCAATCTCAGATTCTCTCTCTCCCTCGCACCGGGGGTCATTCCGGGCCAGACGGCAAAAGATGGCGGGGTATAGATCCATGGTGGATTCCAAAGGGTGCGGATACGAGGGTCTTGTTTGCTTGATCTGGCCGACTCGACCAATCTGGGATGCGCCAGACGACGTGAGACGGAGCGCAGGCAAGCAGGGTACAGAATTAATTACATCTTGTCGACTCTCATTGGCGGAAAGACTTCGCTCCAACTTCGGCTGCAACCACCTCGCTGGGTCGAGGTAGTCAGTCACCAGCGTCTTGTCCTTCCCGCTCTTTCCATTTGCTCTCTTTCTTGGCATTACCTCGGAAGATAATTCCATTCATGCCAGGGAGATGGTTTTTGGCAGAATCCCACGGTTTCTGTGTACCATCGAATAGCCTGGTTGAGATGGTACACAGACAAAGCAACGTGATTGATCGCACAAGTCGTGTCAGCAATGTCTGGCAATATGACCTTTGAATTGATGCATATCCCGCTGGATTGACACAGAAAGTGAAGACAATACTCCAAGCAATCAACCACCAACGTCTGGGGAGTCATGCCGTTTTAAAGCTCAAGTCTGGCATGCGAACTTCTCTGAGATGCTCAACTTGGCGTCGGTTTTCTGGCATTAAGCATAGTTCGAGTCAACGAAGTTGGAAGTACGGCGGCATTTCGCCTATTGATCAAGATGGGGAATTTGGCTTGATTGGAGCTGTCGGTCTTTCTTTTGGGGAAGTGGATCTTCGCTTCATGAACCCCAGATGGCCGGACGAATTTCGGCACTCTTTCTAGCATCTTTGTCTAGACCATGGGTAATGGTACTGTTGTTGTGCTGTACTCTTTGACTTGGATTTCAAACACCGACATGTGCAGCATCTTGGCGGAGTCCAAGGCATGGGATCGACACAGGGTAGAAATAAACCACTTTGTAGCCTTCCCTGGGAACTTGAGGTTGATATGCAAGTTTCCACTTACGTGTCTATATTCGTTGAATTCTTAGACAAAACAGAGTGTGAAAACCTTACACAAACATAAGCAGAAACCTCTCTTGAAAAAATTTAACAAACAAAACAACAAAAATGCCTGGCAAAACGATGAAGGCTTTCCGCCTGGTGGAATTTGGTAAACCCGGGCAGTACTGTGAAGTGCCGGTTCCCTCACCAAAAGAGGGAGAAGTACTCATCCGGATGAAAGCTGCGGGCCTCTGTCGGTCCGACCTCGACATGGTCGATTCGTTACCGGGCTCAGATCCATATGCGTCAGCTATCGATGCTCCCTACACGTTAGGGCATGAGAACGCCGGGGTGATTGAGGTGTTAGGAGAGGGTGTGACCGACTTGAAGGTGGGCGAGGGAGTCGCCGTCCGCCACATGCCGCACTGCTCGCACTGCGAATTCTGCATCCGGGGCATCGAGCAGCACTGCCAAACATACAAGCGTGGAGCGATCGAGATTACCCGTGGCACTGGCTTCGACGGCGGTCTTGCAGAGTTTATGATCTGCCCCCGCGACCAGCTCGTGAGCATTGGTGACGAGGATCCCGTCAAGTACGCGCCACTGACCGACGCTGGGGTGACGGCATACCACGCTGTGGGCACGATCAAGGACCGTCTGCGCCCCGGATCATCGGCGCTGGTCATCGGGTGTGGAGGACTGGGATCTTACGCAATCCAATTTCTTCTGCTGTTGATGGGGGTCAAGGTGTACGGGATCGATGCCAACGAGAGCCGCATCCAGATTGCTCGAGATCTGGGAGCCAAACGTGTGTTCAAGGCGGGCCCGAATGCCACGAAAGAAATTCTGGACGAAACGGGCGGCAAGGGAATCGACGGTATCCTCGACTTTGTGGGAAACAACTCGACGTTAAAGATGGCCATGGAACTGTCTAGGCCACAGGGTCGAGTGGTGCTGGTGGGCATGGATATGGGCTCGGTCGAGGTTGGGTGGAACAAGATCGCCACGAGCTGCGAGTTTGCAATCAGCTTAGGGTCGACACGCAGAGATCTGGAGGAGGTGTGCTATCTTGCTTCGATAGGGAAGCTCAGGATCGACGTCGACCGCTTCTCATTCGACAAGATACCCGAAGCGTATCAGGCTCTGCGAGATGGGAAACTGATTGGTAGAGCTGTCATTACGTTTGACTAGTACATGGCATGATCCGTGACAGGAAAGATGTGACTGTGTAGCTGTAGCGGTAGCGGCGAGAAGAGAACTACATTGCACCAATACAAAGAAAAAAGGAGTTGTCTCAGATTCTGACGGGCTCAAGGATTTACTATGCCGTCCTTGTGATTACCTGGCATATGGTGGATCTGAAACCTCGTAAATGGTAGTCCGTGGTTGGGTATAGTCATTGAACACGCTGTGTACAGTGTCATGCTTGGGAAGTTTATCCTCCATCTCATTGTCTTTCTGAAGTCGCAGAAGTTGTTGTTGCACCTCCTCAACCTGCCCTGTAGAAACCGCATGCCGAATATCCGCCGTCGACTGTCCACCGTGCTGTGGCCGTCATCAGTAATGATGCAAGTAGAAAAATGAAGGTATTCCTCACCCCCCGTAACATACGAGGCATCATCGCTCAGCAAGAAAGCAATGACTTTAGCCACTTCTTCGGCTCGACCCATACGACCCATCAAAGTGCCGGCACTTACCACGTCGGCATTAAAAAGTCCCTTTGCTTCACCTTCACGAAAGATCTTGGTGTCGATCGGACCTCTGCGACAAAAAGTTATTAGACTTGTGCTGCACGATTGGGGACACAGTCACACACGGTAGAACTGCATTGACTCTAATTCCCTGCTTGCCGTATTCCGCAGCCGTAGATTCGGTCAAGCCGAGTACACCAAACTTACTCGCTGCGTATGCTGCATTGTTGGGTAGACCTCGCAGGCCCGAAGTACTCGAAACGTTGACGATGGACCCCCCTGGCCTGGTAAGATGCGGGAGCTCGGCCCTCATACAGATCATCACGCCCGTGAGGTTGACCGCCAGCATTTTGTCCCAGGCTGCTTGGTCCTAATCAGACATGTTAGCATAGCAACCAAGGCTTCGCAAGAGATTCATTATACTTACAATGGACTCGGTGCTTTGACCGTCCCCGCCTGCAATACCTGCGATGTTTGCTGCTCCATCAAGTCTTTGGAAGCGCTTTACTGTGTCCTTGAGCCACAAGTCAACCTGTTCGGCATTGCTGGCATCGACTCTGGTGGTCGTGACTTCTGCTGCTGAGTACTGGCTACCTTCACGTTCCGTCAATTAGCAATGCAAACACCTCAGGGTGACATGCAAAAGCATACATGACTTTTGCGTCTCTATCAGGCCAGGCTGGTCTAGGTCGCTGATGGCGATGCCAATAGCCCCTAGTTCTGCGAGTCGGATCGCCGTGGCTCTTCCAATTCCTGAACCAGCGCCAGTGACGGCAAACACTTTGCCTTGTATCCCCATTGTACCCAATTTAGATGTGTATTATGGTGTTGGACGAAAGCTTTGTCCATCAAAAATATTAGTGTCTGGAAAAATCATCGTATGCTAAACTTATGCCCCCAGGCTGTCTACCACCAACTGAAACTCGAGACGTACCCCGTACTCAGCAGAGTTTGTCCGAATCGCATTCTGAAAGTCGGGAAGTAGGGCCGAGTCAGGGACGGCAGTTCAAGCTTTGGGAATCCTTATGTGGAGGACCGAAATCTTGATCGGAATGACTTCGGTCGTTGACATGTACATCCTAGTGCGAGTATGTGGTTCGGGTGACGCACGTTGGGAACTTCTCGTCTTATTCCCCATGCGTACGCCTCGGCTCGCAAACCGATCTCCAAGTCGTCGTGGAAAGATATATTGAATTATGAGACCGCATGGTTGAGAAGTGAAAAACTAGGAAAAGCCACAATCGCATTCATTTTGTCAACAACAACCACCCAAAAACCCCCAATTGCCACCCCCGAAAACCATTCGGCCATGGCTGACCAAAGTGACATAATAGCACAACTCGAATGCCGTCTCAAGCTCCTCGAGGACAGGCAGCAGCTCCAAACACTTCTCAATCGATACTGTACAATTGCCGACGCCAAAGACTGGAAGGGCTACGCCGATACATACATTGACGATGGAGCCATCATGACCTTCGAGTCCTGGGGCGACGTCGTCGGCAAGGAGAACATCGCCAAAACAGCCAGCGCCGAACAAGTCTTCGACGGCCTTCAGCACACCATGACCAATATGGAGTTCGTGGTTGATGGTTCAGACCGGGCAACGGGGACCGCATATCTGTGGTTCTGTGCAACGCCCGACACATCAAAGCCCGAAATCAACTACGCCTTTGGCGGGCCTTATCGATTCGAATTCCAACGGACGGCAAAGGGGTGGAGGATTTCACACATGTGGTTGAAGAAGATATGGGCGCAGGGCAAAGATACGAAAGGAGTCTTTGGTGCTACGTAGCAGAAGCCGGAGAGGAGAGGAAGTCGAGTCTAGCATATCCTAGGTATAGAAAATTTATCTATACCATCCTGACTAGTGCTTTTCTTTTGGTCAGTGATATACCGTGTGCACAAATATATACACAGTAATTCCGCTTCGTATCTTCGGCAAAGTCCATTCGGGGTGGAGAGCCACTTCACTTCGGGGAACATGATGCCTTATTATTGCGCGTCGTAGTGAGTTTGTCCGGACAGTTGATTCTAATACAATGCCAACTTGGCAAACTACAAAAGCCCTCTTAAGAGTGATAAAGGGGTGTTTCTGCTGGCAACTTCTACAACCATTGGTTAAACTAGCCATGTCGTCTAATTCCGGATTACTTGAGGGTCAGGTCGGATTGATCACCGGAGCTGGAACTCCCTATGGTATCGGGAGAGAATGCGTCAAGAAGTTTGCCTCAGCGGGAGCCAAAGCCATCTACGCGTGCGACTTGAACCTCAGTGCCATCGAGTCCCTACGGGAAGAATGCAAAAAGGCCGGATACACGTCAATTATCGAGGGCAAACTGCTCGACGTCTCGAGTGAAGAGCAGACTGTGGCTGTCGTCAAGGAGATCACCAAGGCACACGGTCACTTTGACTTTTACATTGCGAATGCTGGATTTGCCAACTATAGGTAATGAGTACTTGGGCCACTTTTCGCAGCAGCATCACTGATCCGTTTTTGCCCCTCCTAGGAGCCTTAATGACACTGAGATGAGTCACTACGATCGTCAACTCAATGTCATGACCCGTGGAGCTTTTCTCGGTATCAAATATGGCAGTCAAGCCATGATGGTGACATCCAAGGAAAAGCCTCAGCCAGGGGGCGTCTTTGTGGTCACCGGTTCGTGTGCTGGGTTTCTCGGCTCATATAGCGATTTACCATACGGTAAGTGAAAAATGCGGCAGATGGGACTATGTGAATGGGCATCTGACTGAAATGCACCGGTTATAGCTATCGCCAAAACCGCCTTGCACGGTCTGATTAGCGCTGGTTCGGTTCAATTGTCATCGAGTAACATTCGTGTGAATGGCGTGGCTCCGGGCTTCACCAAGAGTGGCATCTTGACCAATTCTCAAAAGGCCGAGCAAGGTGAATACCAGAGCGGAGAGGACGAGGAGCAACTGAAGCAAAACCACATGTGGTTTTTTGACCGAGCAGGGCTGTTGAAGAAGCCCGAGTACTATTACAACCGACTTCAAGACCCAGACGAGATTGCCAATGTGCAGTTGTTCTTGGCTTCAGGACTGTCTTCATCCATCAACGGTCAGATGATTCTATGCGACAGTGGCAAGACAGCGGCCGCGACTGGGGAAGCATGTACTGGGCCTGTGGACCCAGTCCGTCCCCTGGACTTGTCTTGAGATGGCAACGACCCTAGGGAGTCGATCCTCGCATTCCATAGCACCGTAATAGAGCCAGTCAATGAAAGCACTCCGGACTATCTCCGCTCCCGTGTAAATTCGACCGAGCCCATTCTCCTTCCAGTCGCTGGCGTGCATATATAATGATTCCCAGGTCTTTCCCCTTCGGACAGGCTCAAATAGGGTCATCTCTGACCAGAAAGACATTTACGTCACAATCGAATTGCCATCATGACTGGCTATTTGCGTCTGGCCATCGCCGCCGTCCTCGTTCTCGGGATATGGAGGTTGCTGAGAATCGGACGACGAGACCGTAGACTTCCGCCAGGACCACCGACTGTACCGATCCTGGGAAACGCTCATCAAATCCCGCTGACAGGTTTGGGCAAGAAGTTCGTTGCACCGATAGTATACGACATGAATTTCAGCTAGATAACTACATGGCTAACACACTACTGTTCCCCCCAGGTTCCACGAATGGGCTCAAGAATATGGCAAAATATACTCGCTCAAAGTCTTCAACTCGACCATGATTGTGTTGGCAGATCGCAAGGCCATCTACTCGCTTCTCGACCAGAAAGGCAGCATCTACTCCGAAAGACCATACCTCGCCGTACCGACATTCATGAGTCGAGGATGCCATATGACCTTTGAGCAAGCCACCCCTGGCTGGAGAGAAAAGCGCTCCGTCATCACTAGAAACCTCAATCCTCAGAATCTCGACAAGAAGCACTTCAAGGTTCAAGAGGCAGAGTATGATCCATCGCTCTGGTTTGGGAGCCGAGAAATATGATCGACTGATGAGTCTCGCCCAGGTCAATTTTGTTCATGCACAATCTCGTCCAACATCCGAACCAGGCGTTCGACTACGCTCGTCTCTACGCCTCATCGGTTGCTGCCATCCTAGCTTGGGGATTTCGGGCCAAAGATTTCGACTCGTTCTTTTACAAGGACTTTTATTCGTTCGTTGATCAGGTAGGCGCATGTCACTTTTGAATGAGACCTATTCACACAAATTGACGGTGGTTTTTTTTTTGTTAGTGGCTTGACGCTATAGAGCCTGGTGCGAATCCCCCGGTCGAACAGCTGCCATTTCTGTGGTACCTTCCTGGAAAGTGGAAAAAGAGGGCGATCCACGTCAGGGGCCTGATGGACTCGACGTGGTCCAGGGCGCGCCAGATGGTTGAGGAGCGACGTCAAAGAGGCGATATTCGCGACTCGATGATCGATGTCAAGCTGGCCCAGTACGAGAAGGACGGATGGCCCATGTCGCAGTACGCGTTCAACAACTTGTTTGGGGAATTGCTCGAGGCTGGAGCAGACAGTGCGTTCTTCCTTTTCAAACAGGAGATTTGGATGTGAGCTGACAATACCGCAACAATTAGCTACCGCAAACATGCTTCTGACAATCATCCTGGCCGTGACCAAGTTTCCCGAAGTTCAAATCAAGGCAAGAAAGGAACTGGATGCAGTTTGTGGGACCGAGCGAACACCACTGTTTTCCGACTTTGACAAATTACCCTATATCAACTGCATCATCAAAGAGGCCCTCAGATGGCGCCCAACGTAAGTTTTCTCGATCATGATGAGTCGTTGGCTCTAGCCAAGGTACCGAGTACTAACGCTCCCTTGCGCGACAGATCTGATCTTGGGATCCCGCATCGACTGGCCAAAGGTGAGTAGCAAAGGAAGTCACCGTATTAGAGCCCTCAATACTTATTTCCTTCAGACGACTGGTACGAGGGCATGTTTTTCCCCAAAGACAGCACGGTCTGGCTCGCCGCTTGGGCCATTCACCAGAGTGACGACGAGTTTCCCGACCATGACCGTTTCAATCCGGATCGATTCAAAAACCACACCAAGTTGGCGAGTGACTACGCCGTGGGTCCTGACTGGCAAGGACGAGATAAGTTTTACCCTTCTCGCAGTTTTCATCGGCTATATTTGGACCTTGCTGACCTTTTCAAGTTTACACCATTACGGATATGGAGCAGGTCGCCGCATGTGTCCGGGCATTCACCTGGCTGAGAGAAGTATGTGGCGTGTCACGGCCAAATTACTCTGGGCTTTCGAGTTCAAAGAGATCCCGGAGAAGCCGCTCGACGTCAACGCCTACACCTCCTCGAACCTGGTGCGGCCTTTGGAGTTTGAAGTGTCGGTCAAGCCTCGGAGTGAACTCCACGGGGAGGTGATTCGGCGGGAGCTGACTGGTGCATTGGAATTCTTGAGTCAATACGACTAGTGTTTCGTCCATTGTGAGTAGCGTCAGAGTACACCTGTAGGTGGAGGGATTAGCTTGGAGCAATCTCATGTCGAGACATACAAAACTCTAGACATTCGGACTCGAGTGATTGTCGTGACGTTTTCCCCGGACCCGGACTATCTTCGGTGTCCAGCATCACTGACTCTATCCACTATGGTATTGACCCCAAATTTCTTCAGGTATAGCGTCGCTAATCTGCCCAAGAAACATCTATTAGCGAATGTCCATGAAAAGAAAGGGAACACAGAAAAAGTAGTCCACAGGCCTCTTTGATTCTCGTTCAAAGGTCTGTATCCCGGGAAATCATGTCAGTACAGGGCAAAGTAGCGATTGTCACTGGCGCGGGCCTCGGCCTAGGT